CCCCAAAATCCCAAAACCCCAAAACCCCAAAACCCCGTCTTCGATCCTAGTTATTGAATCATTATTAATAATTTTTATCAGGATTTCTCTTATTTTTCTTGGGTGGCCTCATGAGATCAATTGTAGCATGGCTCAAGCATATCAGCATTGGTCCGTATACAAAGCCTGTTATATCAAACACGTAAAGGCCGTTTACCAAGGACAGAAACAGCAAGAAGGGGTTCACGGTTGAGAGCTCATTCGAGTAAATATCTGTGAATATCTTGGAAGTTATGAAGTAGTATGACACAAAACATAGACCTGCAATTCTCCAATCTGCCTCTTGTGCGAAGTATAAGTATAATGCAGCAGGGATTCCCAGGATTGATGGTGAGAAGATTGGAATAAACGTCAGGGTAGTCACGAAGAAACTGTAGATGTATCTGTATCTCACTTCGAATATATCCAAAATCACCCAAGACACTGTGCTCAATGTTACTGATATCTTAATTGGTGATAAGAAAACTCCTCTAATCGATTTCACTAATGATTTCAGGATCTGCACTCTCTTTGTATCTTCCTCAACCCCTTCTTCTCTTCCTACATCAGACCGATAACCCCCACTTCACCCCAAATAAAACGTTCAAACCCTTCAAAACCCCCTCTCCTAACCCCTCTTCCCCTTCCTTACCTCTGGCAGGGTCCAAATACATCACCGCATACTGAACACCATCCTTCTTCATCGTGATTAACAAATTCAGGCATGAAATATACACTAAGAAATAGAACGAATAATTCGATAGTTCAATCACAATAGCGAATCCGTACTCTCACACGATCTTAAACATTTTCATAAATCTTGGCTGTGTTCATCTCGTTTGACTTTTTGTCCTTAAAAAGGGTGCTAACTAGCTCAGATACTTTATTATAGTTCCTAATCAACATCTCAGTAGTTGTCTCAAAGTCTTCGGGTTTAAAATCTGAAGGGTCATCATTCTTTTCATCATCTGAGCTCTCCAACTCAAAATTCTGGTACAGAGTAAATAAGTCTCCTGGGGAGCTAATATTAGTAGCCTTTGTAAAATCACTTAGCACTTGTAAGGTAGTCATATTCTTAAATCTTTCTTTTTCAAACTCATAAGGAATGTTGGTCTGGTGATGAAGCAGCTTCAATAACTTCTTCAGATATGGCTTCACTGCTGTATCAACTCTGCCAATTATCAGACTGTTCTCGTCGACTATGTTTGATAGGGAGATACTCTCCATGTTGTTCTGCCTCAGGTAGTTCAGATCTAGTAAGAGCAAGAACGATAGTAAAAATCAAGATCCAATGATCATCAACAGCATAATGGTAATTAAAGCGTATGAAATCACAACTGAGAGGAATCCTCCGTATCTTGTATCTTTGTCGTCTAGATCTTTGCTCCGAACTCTACAGCAGCAGAATGCGATCATGATAAGCCAAGCCAAGCTCTTAAGAGCTAAGTCTATTCCTAAGAAAATAATGAAGATTAACAGTGTAACCTTTATTCCAAAATATCTTAGAAGGATGTAGAGAGCTCAAATTGTCATGATCTTAGGGACATCATTAAAAAGAGTGGAGCTTCTCCTATCAAAATTAGAAGTGACAAAGTTAAAGATATAGGCACATATTTCTGAGAGAATACCCTTGAGTCCCCCAATTTTATAGTTTTTGTAAGTACTCATTATGAATCTCACCATTAAGATTTTCATGAGAAGAGATTTTTCGTTAGATGCTAAATTTTGACTGATCGATTTCTGAATTGTCAGCTTTACGTCTCTCAAGTATAAAGAAGTTACAAATGCAAGTAACATTGAGCTGAAGCAATCACCGAGTAAGATATAGATGCCATATGAAAGCATTCAGAGTAGTATAACAAATATTTGGCTTCCAATCAGGACTCTAAAACTTAAAAACCAATACCTACCTTGCTGAAATGGCTTCTGAGCTGTTATGGGGCTCATTGGCATTTTGATTATCTCCTGGCTCTTTATTATCCTTCTTCTGTACAAATCCTTCAAAGGCTCCAAAGATCTGGGAGAAATTGACTAAACCACTGGCGCTAGAGTTCCTTCTCTCAACTACATTTCCAATAATCAGCTTTCTTACCTGTCATGGAGCCAATGTCTGAATTTGGACGTTGGAAATCTAGTGGATCTGATCCTCTAAGCATTAACATATTTGGGCCTTACTTCCTTGGTGGTTTTATAGCCATGGATTTGGCTAATTTATTCTTCTGAGCTGTCCTCGGCTTTTTCTTCCCCATTTGGTCTGCAAAATTCAATATTATAATCAACAGTTGGGGTTTTGGGGTTTTGGGGTTTTGGGGTTTTGGGGTTTTGGGGTTTTGGGG